TAAGGAATAGGAGCAATATTTTCTATTTCTCTGGGTGAGGTGGAAGCAATGGAAAGGGTTGAGGGTTTTGCATGGCTGAGCTTCTGGTCCATACTTAAAACAGCAGGCATTTTTCATTGCTTGACACTATTAATAGACCTGTCCACATCAGCCTACTAATAGTGTAGTGTAGTGTTTTTACTGCATATTCCTCCAGTTTGTCCAGGGGCCTGTTTTTACTGTTCTTTCCATTCGATGCTTGTATCTTAATTATAATTTTGTAGTTAAAATTTCTAGGAATGGGGTTGGGGGTTAGTAGTTCCAGGGGCAGATCTAGGGGGAGGTGCAGGGGGTGCACCCACCCCCCCTCCTGAGATGACCTGCGGTTTTCTAATACGACTGGTATTCTGCAAAACAAAAACTATGTGGTTTATTGGTGTTGAATTAGAGCAAGAGACGAGTGCAACCCCTCCTAAAAAAAATCCTGGATCCGCCCCTGAGTAGTTCTGCAGAATCATCTATACTTATCTTAATGTTTTTTCCATTTGGCAATTCTGTGTCCATAAAAAAATAATATGATCTTGTATTCCTCTGCAACTCCAAAGCAGGTCAAAAACTACCCCTTCAGAAGACTTGTGAGGGGAATTTTATGCTACCACAGGGTTGCAAAGAAAGGAACCATGTATAAGCAATCACAGGAACAACAATGTTGAATCTGGGTAGAATGATCCCAAGAACTTCATAATACTCAGTCTTTCCTACCACCAGTTGGCATTAGGACAATGCAATCATTATTCTCTAAAATGGCAATCACAGCATCTTGTTTGCCATGAAATTTGAAATATTCAAACACAATTATTATTTTAAAGTGTCTAGGGCAACCTCTCCTGTCTGGCTAATGGTAGTTACGATGGCATCTCATCAACTACATCGCCCTCTTCCATCAGGGTAACAAAATTGTCTATCAACTTAAAACCAAAACAGCTTCCTCATAAAATGAGGTATATAAATAAAAAGTAAGTAGAATTTATTTACACCTGGCTGTGCATTCAGTGACAAGTCTAGTACCCAGCGATGTAATCAAAAAATAAAAAATACAATTAAAAAAAAAACCTAGAGATAGTTTTGTGGCTGTTTCTCCTTTAAGAACATAAGCTTACATTGTCGAGCAAATGATACACAATGCGAAATCCTGAGACAAAAATTTAACAGATTTATTATCTAGTATTTAATAACATAACTTAGAGGTCTTGAGACTAGACTGGTTTGTTGCCTTTTCGAGTACTCAAGATACAGCGTGCAGCAAATAGTATTAAAGCGTTACAAAATACTTGGCCTCATTTGGCTGTTAGCTGCTGTTGCAACAATTCTCAGCTCGCCATTTTTCATTTCGACTGAAGAGATGACAGAGATCGTTTCATCACTGGGGATCTTAACAGAAACGATTACTAACTTACTAACTTTCCTGACCGGCTGTTACCTTGGCGTGCGGCAGTTTCATTATATTAAAGGCAGTACTGTCCCGTCCGCGGCTAGTAGTTTTTCCATTTAAAGTTCGGTAGTAAACATTATGTAGTTCGGTAGTAAACACATTGTGATGCTTGAGTCCAATGTGTGGGATGAAAACAGCTTCTACTTCATTCACAGGACGTGGATAGCCAATGATTTGCTCAAAATTCGTAAAATGAATAGGGCTGAACTTATTTTAAAAATTGCATATTCGTCCGCCATTACTCTTCCCGCCATCTTGAAAACAAGATCTGCCAGACGTCTCGCCCGTTGTCTCCTTCCCGCCTTCCTTTGCGCGCACATCGAAGAGAGACGTCTGGGTACGAGGCAGTAACAAAATCATACACAGTTTAATGAATAAAGGGAAATAAAACCTAAACATAACAATTTCTCTATCATGTTGAAGCGTAAAAGGTGACTCTATTAATCGCACTGCAAATTTGGTGCCTGTCAAAAGTGAGAACCCGTCCGGCTGGCCGAAAAGTGATTTTGGGAATTTTTTTATCGTTTTCATTAAAAGCCCATAATTATTACCCCGCATATCACAGAGGACCAGATTTTTCTAACAGAAAACGTTTCATAATTCAACGCTATAAGTTGTTGTGCAAAGGAAGCGCGTGCTTTGATCGTCGTGGATATTGAATGAGTGCAAATTCTCTTGCAAAATTATGAAAAACTGCAGAATTATAGGTTTAAATAGGGCAAAAAAGAACAAATTCTGTCCGAGGTCTGTGTACAGTTTACCTGAGACGTGATGAGAAAAAGTATGTTTAAAAGGCTGGTTTACAAGCCACCAGATTCGTCGCCAAGATTTACTAGTAAACTAAACTTGTCGAACACAAAAAATCCGGCCTGATTTTTATTTTGGCCTCTCTTTTAGACAGAGGAATGCAACGAGTAAATTGGCTGCCACCAAGGACTATCGTGGTGCATGTCTTTCTTAAAATTATATTTCGGGGTTGTCCAATTATCCATAGTCTCTCTAACGGAGCAATGTTGGAGAGACTGGTGAATGCCACATTATGATGCTGCAGCTAATGCAAATACAATACACGAAGATTATACACGAATAGGTCTATTTGTTTTCCAGGCCTAATCTACTGTGATCGAACATGGTTGCTATTTTTCGGTGTACAAATAACTTGATGTAAAATTTGTTTCACTCTTGGACGGTCAAATTCTGATTTTTCTCTAAAATCACTCAGCCTTTGCCTCAAAAGTCAAATGAATGTGCCCTGGTCTGTGGATTACAAGTTTATTGTTTGATTTAAATTATGAATTTATTAACGGGAGCTTCGCTTTTAGCCCTGGCTAAATCTATATATTATCTAAGTCTCATTGCAGCTTTTAAGCAGCGGCCCGCAGCGCTGCTTTACTGCTGCTTTACCGTGGCAAAATTTTGCAGCGCTATCGCAGTGCACGAAATGTGACGTTCTCTGCTTTAGCGACTCACGAGCACTGCTTTACAGACGCTTAAGCGCTGTGCAACCGTAAAAGTGAAGTGCTGTAGCGCTGCGGCAGCGTTGCGTCGTTCGTACGGGAGATTTTACAATTATCCTATTTACAAAAGGATTATTTTCTGTGAGTAGGGGGTGCTTTCTTGATGACCAGGGCCGACTTGTTCGAAGGCTGATTAGCACTTAACCCAGGGTTAAATTAAACCCAGGTTTCTTTTTTCTGTTTGAAAGCATTTTCTCGGATAAATTTCTCTGTTATTTTTAAGAGCATCCAATCATCAACTTGTTGACAGAAAGAATTAAATATTGAATTTACTTTTTAAGCTTTCATATCTGAATGCAAATTTCGTGCTAACCCTGGGTTATTAATATCTTAACCCAGCTTTGAACAACCCGGCTCAGGTGGCAATTTTTGCCAGTCACTGGAACTTCTGGAGAACCCCAACTTTTTTTGGTCTTGTCTCTTACCTCAAGCTTTTTATAGGTTCAGTTCTGTTTCCCCCTTTTCTGAATGTGATGATGTTCCCCAATTTTATTATTTCTTAGCCAAAGCCTTGTAATATAAAATAAAACACAAGAATTATTCTTGTGTTTGTTTTGTTTGTTTCTTTTATTGACCTGTTTTGTTACTAACAAGTCTTAATTTTGTGCTGTTTTCAGGAGGTCAAATTCCCTGGGTATCATACCTATTGGGCTGAGGCACAGACAAAAGGTTACAGTGGAGTTGGGTGTATGTAAATCCAATAAAGAAATAATTATTCTAAAGTGAAGTACTGTTTTGTATGACAAACGTGCAAGTCTTTTGTACAGGTCCAAAGTCTGAAAATAAGTTCAAAACACGATATCTCTTTAAAGTCATCTTATTTATAATAACAATAATAATTTTTATAATATTAATAGTGATAATTATAGTACTTTAATTATCCTTTTGATCTTCCCTGATGGGGCTTTTCAGCGATAATGAAACAAATGATTTACTGTAAATGGAACATAACATTATTAAAACAACCAACATGAACTGGTAGGAGATGAACCAGTTGGCAAAATCTAGGTAGTGGCCAGGGCAGGACATGAACATGGGGCCTCTGAATTACACGTACAGGTCCAGCACTTTAACTGCTCAGTCACCCTGAATGACATACTGAATTATGACATGAAGTGCAAAAAAATTTTGAAATTTCCTGGGTTTGATTGGTTAGCCATGTGACATTGTGGATTATTTTACAATACATATTTAAAACATTTGCAACCTTTTACAAGAAAAGGCGGGGGTTTTTTGTTTCACCCTTTGTACCCTCAGTTTCTTAATTGATCCCAATTTTGTAGTGGCGCCCTGTCTAGGGTTGGATACTCAGAACTGATTCTCCTCTTTTTAGAACCAGCTTTTCTAAGGCATTTTAGTGCTCATGTGCTTTCTTTGAATATGCATTCCAAATAATTATGTAGGTTGTTAGCTTCCATGCTTGCCCAGTGCAAACTGTATGTTGTCATAATTTTTCTTTTTATTTTTTTATAGTTAGAAATGCATTATTAGAGTGGGCATTGACATGCAACACCAAAAATTTATGTAATGACTGTTTTCATGAAAGTACATGCAGCCTTACAAATTTATTGCAAAAATTAGAATTCAAGAAGGCAGGACATTTGTTCAAAGAATGACTAGAGTGGTTAAATAAGCATTCCAAAAACATCCATCAAGTGGCCAATTTACTTGCACAAAGTCCAGTATTCAGTTTATGCATAAATTATAGCCTCACTAAACACAATATCTCTAAATTTCAATACTGTATTATTATGCTTGTGCATATGAAACAAGGTTTTTTTAAATTTTCACCTTATAATACCAGTCGTAAATTTATGTTAGGGCGATGTTTTTATTTACTTCTTTTCCATAGGGAGTCTCTCCTCAGGCTAAAATGTTTGTGTTTGCTTTCAGATTGCTATAGCTCTTTGTCGTAATAAAGCCTATTTTAAGTATACTACATACACCAAATCATTGTAGTGATGACATTAATTATTAAATTGATATTCTCTTGATTATATATTTATTTTAGACTATGCAGCAAGACAAAGCCATCGAATGTATCCTATGGTATAGGTCAGTTGTTATGTTTTAGATGTTGTAGCACTGTGAGGCTCAAGGTTATCCGGCCTTTACTTGTCATGTACATGGATTATTATTTTCTACACAGAAATAAGTACTTTTGATTAATGCTGATTTCATTTAGAAGAATAAAAATGTTACTCTGAACACGACACAACAGTTTTCATTTGTTCATTTCTAAATTTGAAAAAATAATAATGTCAACCTGAATTTGCTATGAACTTTATTGTAAATCTCGGTTATTTGTCCAGTTTCCTGGAAATTACACTGTACAATGAAAGACAGTAAGTATTAACATTATAATATAAAATTAATGGTATCTTGATTTGTTCTTGTTTGCCGATAATCTAGGGGTGATTGGAATAAGGTACTAAGTGTCTCCTGATGCAATCTCTAATTCTCTCTTTGATTGACAAACTCATAAAGGAAAATTAAAGGGAGAATCTAGTAGTTTTTCAAAAGTCACTTGGGAATTAATTGCATGTACAGTCAACTTTCACCCTGCAGGAATGTCTCTTTTACAGATAAAAATAAACACCAATATTATTATGGGTTGCAAAGAGTCAAAACGTATCATGTTTTTTCAGGCATTGCAGAGCATGACAATGAACGACGAGTTATAACAGCTGAATTTAAAGAGTTTTACTTAGTGGCATCATGTGAGTAGTCTTCTAGTAATGTACTAGATCGCCAAATGCTTGGCTGTATATGCCTCTGGTTCAGTACATTTACTAATAGTACAAGGGCTATCACTAATGATATTGTTACTACTATAGCTGTACAGTACAGTGTGCTGCTATGATGTCAATGATGACAACCACATCCACTACCACAACATGCCCTCATAGCTGAGCAAAATCTTTATTATTATTATTTTCTTTTTACATTTACTGTCAAACTTAGAAAACCGTGAACACCTGAAAATTTTCAGGAATGTTGATTGTGTACTGGCCAATCACAATAAAGTTCAGGATATGCAAGCAAACCTCAAAACCACAAACTAATTACCGTTGCTGTTTGCAGTTTGGTTGTCTCATGCCTTATTGGCTATTTCCTCTCAACACAATAACATTCCATAAATATTTCTGGTGTTCACGGTTTTGTCAGTTTCACAGTCAAAGGTAACGTATTGAAAATAAATGTTTTTGTGTGTATATAGAGGGTCACAGGCTTAACAGTTCTTGAAAATGAATTTTCTCCTGACAATGTCAATACATTATCAATAGAAAAAGTTATGAGAGTTCAAATTGATCACGTGCAAAAGACACTTTGATTCTCTGTCAAGTTCTGTCCACAAATTCTTTAAGAAAATGTATGGAAGTCACTTTGGAAAATGAATTATAACAGGCTCCTCCTTTTACCGGTATAACTCCTCCTAAAACCCCCCATGAAACATTTATAAGTGGCAGTTTGCGGTATTGTAGTTTCTTCTGGTTGTCCCTCTCCTTAAAAACCAACATGTTCAAATTCTTATTCGATCCGAAAAGTGTGTCGTTAGTTGGCGACTCTTAAAAGGCCGCACTAAGGCTTATCAGTTCTCGACTGAAACTATCAACTGTTTTTCTCTCTACTTTCCTTGCAGGCTTGACTACAGACAGGGTTGGGATAAAGTCTTCAGGGATTACCTCAAGAATCTAGACAAAAACATACCTGTTATACTGTGTGGCGATCTTAATGTTGCTCACAAAGAAATAGGTTAGTTTCTGGCTGTTAATCCTGTTAATCAATTATTCTTCTGTTTAAAAATACGTGCACACCAGGTTTTATGTCTCCACCCATAACTGTGCGGATAGAATGGGAACAAGCTTTTCACACAACGATTCCTAGACTGAACAAGCCTTAGTTACAATTTTTCAATGATATCCAAAGTTAACCATTTACTGGTTAGTATGAGTTCTCATCACCCTAGAACTTTTTAGACACCTTATAAAGTTTACACAAATTAGTATTCCTTATCGCTTCCACACCATACATCCACAGTACTGGGGAAACCAAAGCCATGAGGAATACTATGTCGTGTAAACTTCAAAAGGTGTCCAAGGGGTTTTTAGCCGATGCAAACCAATGGTAACCCCATTAACCAATAATGGCTTGCATTTTCTATCCAAGCAATCCTAAAACACTTTCTACCAGTTCTCCTGTAGACAGTAGATCTTGGAGAACCCTTTCCATGTCAAAGCCGCTGATAACTGATACTACATATATTTTCTCCCTCTCCTTTCTTAAAGACTTAGAAAACCCAAAGACCAACACAAAAATGCTGGTTTTACAAAAGAAGAAAGACAAGGCTTCACTGAACTGCTGGAGGAAGGCTTTATTGATTCGTTCCGTCTCTTTATCCTGAAAAACCTAAACAGTATTCATTTTGGTCTTATATGAGAAACGCTCGCGCAAAGAATGGTGGCTGGTAAGTTAGTTATAACGCGTTATTATTTGCGAAGTGTCTTATCCATACTTAAGCTTGACCAGCGGTGAGAAGAATGAGAACGTCATAAAGAAATAGATTTAATAAGCAAAACAACAGTACCGCAAATGATCCCCAAAATGGGCAGCAAATGATTCTCGACCGTAAATGATCCCTAAGATGGACCGCAAATGATCCCGTGAAAAATTGACGAATGGAATGGATTTTAGTTGGATATTGGATGAAGAATGGAGTGTTTACAACGTAACCTTCGAGGGAGAAAAGGAACCTTTTCTTCTCGCCCTCTAAAGAAAAAGGGAAGGAGGACGCCAGATCACATGTTAATTTATACAACGCGTGAAAAAAATAATAGACATGAAAAGGATAATTATGTTATTAACCGTGCTTCTTCCCTTGGCAATTGCTTTAAATTTTGTTTCGTCGCTCTAAGGACAGGCAAGACGCTACGCAGAAATAACTATTATTTTAACGCCTAGAAGATCAAATTGTCAAGAATGTCAACATTGGGATTACGGTAAGCACGTGGCTAGGGACTCCATTTAACAAACGTATTTTTAGACTGACCTCAAGTCCCACAAAAATAAAGCTAGAATCGGGCCTTTCGGGCTAGCCAGCGAATGCTTCATGACAACCAAAAATGCACAACGAGTATATTACACACAAACGACTATTTAACTGAATAATGTTACTCTCACTTTGATTATTTTCTCAAGTTAATAATAAGTATAACCGATTGATTGATTTTGACAAAGTTTTTATCTATATCGAAGTTAACTACAGTACGTGAAAGCTTAATTGTTAAATAGTAACTAAACAAGACACTACGTTGCGCAGCCATTTTCTTGTTTCTTTGACTTAACAATGTTTTAAAATTAGTGTGTTAGAGTATATTTCTCGTTTTCTTTAAACAAAGTCTTGAATTGATTTTTCATTTACTTTTCATTTATGTCTTTATTTGAGAAGTAAAATTATACTTTTACTACTTTTTAATGAAAATGATGATTATAAAGAATTTCTATAGCGCTAGAACTATAAAATATTCAAAAGCAATAATTGTCATAATAAAATTGACACGATCATCCGCGAACTTGAGTCCAAGTCATTCCTATTTTTCGTTTGCGGACCAAGTTGGGGATCATTTACGGTCGAGGATCATTTTAGGTCATTTTGGGGAGCATTTGCGGTACTGTACAGTACTTCCGCATCACACTTTTCGGTTCATTCCGTTGCCATCGCTGCACTACTAAGCTTCGCACTTGATGCCCGGGTACTGAACCCGAGTACGGTACTCGCTCGGCATTAATCTAATACAAGAGAGGAACGGCGGTTTTAAGTCGATTCGGCCTATAACATTACAACACTCTACAGAATGGTGAACCTACTTCGCCGAGATGTTATTTCACTTAACCTTGGATTCCACATGTGCAGTCTCTGTCTTTCCATGCTTACTCCTTTTTCTTAGGCTTAAAGAACGACAAATACAAATCGGGCGAGTCGACGTAGTCTGGGCGAATTGCCATCTGGCGAATTGACCTTTCGGGCGAAACGACCCGATACCCAAGACAGAATCATCTACAATCTTGGACAAAACTGTTGAGAAAATTGCGTACTTGGGGAGCATTTTTTCTAAACGTCGTAGCCGACCGATTCTTCCTTCCCCCCGTCCCCCTGGAAGCAGTGTTGTTGGGTCTTTAAAAGAAAGCCGGATTCCTAAGCATTTGTAGGAAGCAACTTTGAACTGGGGGAGGGGGTTTTCTTTACGCAAAGCCGTTGATTTGGAAATAGTTTTGTTGCGTTAGGTAGTGCACATTAATGAAAACATTTTCTCAAGTAGTTTTGTCCAGGATTGTATTTGACTGGAAAAGTCGATTTTGAGCATTTAACGCTGGCACATAAATCTGTTCTCTATATATTTCGTACACTTCGCAGAAAAGTAGATAATTAATGAAAAATAAGTGACAACAGAGGAGTTGATGACAAGAAAATCAACTTGTATGTCTTTCTTGATTCAAGTAGCCAATCGTGAACGTTTGTGAATTTCATTTTCCATGCAGGGTTTTTACGCGCGCTTTGAGTGCAGAGGAGCAGGCATACATTACGTTTTTGGCGGACGAGAAGGACTTCTCGGTCAAGGAGATTAGCCAGAAAACAGGAATTTCACCTGCTACTATTCGACCAACAAATAATACATGAAACTTTTGCTGAATTTTGAGAGCGCGTGACCCATGCTTTGAACAATTTCCCCATCGCCGAAATAGATAAAACAATCAAAGTCAACGAACAAGCGCTTGCCATTAATAACAGCATCAAAAGGAGAGAGGATTAAATGTTAACAAAACTTGTATTTTTACTTTCCAAATTTGAAAGCTTACTTTTGACATTGTAGCGATGTTCAGTGCAAAAAATCACACTATGAAATCTAGAAATGTCACGCTCGGTAACGTGACAAGATGTACTATCGTGTGACCAGTGAGAGTGCATGTTTTGCCCTCGGGCTATTTATAGGTACAAATGACTGGACGAAATTATGGGATAAATTCATCATTTGTAAAGCAAGAGAGAGCAAAAATTGCCACAGCTGTCTTCTAACCTCTTTCTCTCCGCAATATCTAAGATTCGGAACGATTAACAGGACATTTTGAAGGTGTTACCAAGATTGGCAACGGTTAACAACGATTAACAAGGACGTTTCAAAAGAATCAGAAGGTCATTTACTTTTAAAAACAAAATGGTGTTAACCGTTTCAATGCTTTGTTAATCGTAACATTATTCTATCCATGGAATTATCATAAAAAGTTAACCGACTTGTAGCAAACGAGGTTTCTGTAACCCTCATAGTTTAGCCAATTTTACGATCTGAGAAGCATTTTCCACATGACAGGATATGTCTCCATATTGCTTTCACTATACGTCACTAAATAAACACTACGAACTTTATTTCTTCTAAGAAAACCGTCATCCAAGTCTTGTTCTGACTCTTCTGAAAACTAGAAATCACTTTCCACACTTTTCAAGCCTGCCAGGTTTGAACAACACGAAAACATGTAACAATGAGCACGCGTTCTACAGCTATTGCAAACCGTCATCCAAGTCTTGTTCTGACTCTTCTGAAAACTATAAATCACTTTCCACACTTTCCAAGCCTGCCAGGTTTGAACAACTCGAAAACATGTAACAATGAGCACGCGTTCTACAGCTATTGCAAAATCTTACTGTTTTAAGAGGGTGCAGCAAAAAACGTATGTGAGGTCGTACTTTTCTATGAGAAGATGGTGTGCCGTGAAACTTTGCTCTCAAAACAGCTTCCGTAAAGTGCTTTTTATTGGTAGCTTTCCGTTTTGTGCCTGTTAATATTCTTGCTAAAAAACGCGAATCACCTTATATACAATCTTGGACAAAACTGTTGAGAAAATTGCGTACTTGGGGGGCATTTTTTCTAAACGTCGTAGCCGACCGATTCTTCCTTCCCCCCGTCCCCCTGGAAGCAGTGTTGTTGGGTCTTTAAAAGAAAGCCGGATTCCTAAGCATTTCTAGGAAGCAACTTTGAACTGGGGGAGGGGGTTTTCTTTACGCAAAGCCGTTGATTTGGAAATAGTTTTGTTGCGTTAGGTAGTGTACATTAATGAAAACATTTTCTCAAGTAGTTTTGTCCAGGATTGTAGCTCATTCTATCTTGTCTGATATCATCTCTAAAGACCGAAGCTAGGGTAGTACAAACACAAAAATGTGGGAATAGAGCGACTTTCATATTACCTTAAAATGAAAACGCGCGAACAAACAGAAACAACAAACGAACGGAAAAAGATCGATTTGATTGGTTTGTCGAACGGATACAAACGCGCGTGGCTTTTGGTTGGTTAAGCGAGCGCTCGGGTATAAAAACTTCATGCCCGAAGAACTTTCTAGAAATCAATCGATACTTTGACGGTTATACTACAACAGATTGGCTAATCGAACAATGTCTTTTACATATTAGGGTTTTCTTTGGCGGGAAAACGAGGAGTCCATGTTTTGATCTTTTCATCCATTGGCTGATAAAACAAATAACGATCACTTACCGAAACCATTTTTCAATTTCACACGGAAGTCGCTTATGTTGCAAAGAAAAAGGTATCGTGCGCAAATTTTGATGGGATGTACGATCATTCTCACAGGAGAGAAACTTCGTTTGCCGTCTCTTATTGGGCCGAACTGTTTTCCATACCAAAATTTCAAAAAGTGGCGAAAGACACCGCTCGATCAAACTCTCAGTTACTCCACTTGAGGTTGAGTGACACTAAATACGAAAGCATCATTCTCTATCGATGCTCTATTAGCACTGTGATCTGCAGTGGTACTTACCATTCACATGGAAAAACCGAAAATTCCGGTTGGAAAATCAAATGGTTCGTGCCATTCCACTCTTTTTAGTTTGTTAAGCTGATCTGGATTGTAGCGGGTCGTTCTCCCACCATGTCAAATTAGGGAACTTAAGAACCACGAGGAAGTTCACGACGACGACGTCTGTTGACTGGGAAAAGACTGGAACGAGAACGTCAGTTTCGGCGGGAAAAAGGAAACTTAAGATACAGTCGGTTTGTAGGTCGACGACGACGACACTGAATGTAAACACAAATGTACAACTGTGATGTTCGTTCGCAACAAAGTTTTTCGCAATGGCGTCTTTTAAAAGAATGCAAAATCTTATTTTTTAAGCCGTACGTCTAATTTCATTGACGATGAAGAATTTTTTGTGTTGTCTGAGCTTTTCGAGTGGAAAAACACCTAGTTTCCGTACGAAATTATTCAACTTTCAACTTGAATG